ACATCTCTGTGTCCTATTAATTAAATAAACATAAAAATAAAAAACTGATTTCTATTATTTTGAGGTAGAAAAAAGATTATTTTCAGGTATCATTAACTTGAGACAAGATCACAAATAATCCATTTTACTGTGTCACGTAAACTTCTGCAGTGTGGAGAACATTATTACCCTGATAGGTAGGAAGCACTGAGTCCTGAACAGACTCTACACCTACACCTTCCATCACTTCAGCTGGCTTTAAAAATGCCTATTTGCCAATTAGTTTCAGAAGGTGGATCACAATCACACTTCCTTCCTTGCTGCTCTCCTGTCCTGATGGTGAGACCCAGTTATTGCTGACTGRAAAGGGTTTGGTCTTGTTGTTGCTTCTACAGTCTAATTTTCCATGAGGCAACACACTGAACTTACCAGTGATCCCTGCCAAGTTGCAATTTTGATGTAATCTTGTTTATAAAAACAGGGAAAACAATTCTTATCTGTACAGGGTGCAGTAATTAAATTAGACGTTCACGCCTGGCATGATGGGGTCAGGATAAAGATAAGTAGGATTATGTTCAGGAGTTGTTGGGTTGAACATAATTTCTGTTTATAGGATGTGTATGGTTACCTTCTGGCACAAATGTCATCTGGGTAAATCCCTGAGGATCTTCTCTTAGGAGCTGTCCCTTTGGAAGTGCCTGGACGTGCTTTTAGGCTCAGAGTTGGACTTTCCTCACTGCCATGCCTTAATCCCTGCCTATTTCCCAGCTTGATCCCCTGTGCTTCTGCCTTTCAGATCAGAACTTTATTAGGAAGAAGGGGATAAGTGTGCCCCGTAAGAACATTTATTGAGCTGGAGTTGTTGATGACTAAATGAGCCCCAAGTTCACACAGAAAGGAGCAGAACTATCTCAAGAACCTGATGACACTTCATGTGTCCTTGTGATCATGTTTGACTAAGTGGCRCAATTTAGATCTGTCATTGCCTTAATATCTTAATTAGAGAGCTGTTGAAGCATTAAAGGTGCCCTCTTTGGGTAAAATATTAATTGGTAGATATAAATGGACTGAACTTTGCCCAGTAGACACAGAGATAAAATAAATTGTTTTGATCTGAATTTACAGCCATCACAACTCTTCTGATGTCTGTGCAGTCTCTMTAGATTTCTATGCTTGTAAAACTGGCCAGACTTCTAAGGTGTTTCAGTTTCCATCTCTTATTTGTTCTATTTAATTTGGTTACACATTTGTCTTCTGCTTGTTATGAACTATTTCAGAGCTTACAGGCCATGGAAAGAGAGAGGAAAAAGCTCTATTACAGTTGTTTTCATTGATAATGTCTCTTATGAGCAGTTATCCAACACTTTACAAAAGGGATCAGCTTCAAAATCCCYGTAATGAGAAGACTGAATGCCCAGCAGCCTCTCTGTTCAGGAGCACTGTTCTTGTGTTAAACCCTCTACACTCAGCTGCTGTTTACAAAAACCAGAAAGCAACTATTTTTGTTTTTATTTRTGTTCCCCCAAAGATGTATAGTGGGCTACAAGGAAGGGTAGAGTACAACAACATTAACAGTGTGCACATCTGTGACCCCATTTCTACACCTTCAGTTGTGGAAACAATGCCAACCTTCACTCTGTCATTCTGCCCACTCAAAAACACATGACTGAACKGCATAATTTTACATATTAAAACATGCAAATTGGGATGTTGAAAGGTGCAGATAAGGTTATAGAAGTCTTACAGTGAGGAAGKTTATGTGGTTACTGTGGCTGTTTATTTGTTTTAATGTCTGGTGTAAAAATATTTGGGCATTATGATGACTGGGCAGGCACAGTCTGTTGGATAACAGTAYAGGTAGGCCAGCAGTTCCATGTCTCTTCAAGAATTTTAACTGTAAGCTACATAATATCTTTATTTTAATCATCAATTTATTATTTCTTCTGATGTGTATTAAAACTATGACTGTGAAAAGGAAAATAAATTTTTTATCAAAGAAATTGTGAAATCTCACAAAAAACTCCCCCTCCCCAAAATTAAAACCTTATCAAGGAAATGAAAATTTCACAAAAATAGTTATTTCTGTCCAAATTATGAGCAAAACCGCATATGATGAAACCTGTTTTGACCCAGAAAAATACAGAGAAACTATTTTTATTTGAATTTGAACAAACCACATTAATAATTTGTGTTTGCAGTTACATCTGGACAGTGCAAGAGACGTGTTTCTAAACAGTCTGGTGGCAGTTTTGTGAAATGAAATCATGTCAATAAAAAAGTATTTAACAAAGATAAGAACTSGTGTTTCTGGCAAGTGAGATAGCAATCAGTGTGACTTCAGCAAGAACAGCCCCTAAGTTCATATCAGTTTTACTACTGGAGTTTTATTTGGTAATAATAACTGTTGATAGCTGAAAGTTCTTAGCACAGCTTAAAGTCATACACATCAAGTCAATTTGACCTTTGTTAATTGGCTTTAATTAGAAATCAAATTCTGTAAGCAAAAGATTGAGATTAAAATTAATTAAGTACTGTAAAGATAAGGAATTATATTGGTGTGTCTGTGATTTTTAAAGCAATAACTTGCTTCTTAAGTGAACCAAAAGTACAAAGGTAGGCACACGGCAATGACATTATTGTTGTGTTGGAAATGCAGCAGTTCTGCTGCGTTGGAAGGTTTTATTTTGATTAACCATAGAAATCACACCCAAAATGTAACCCCCAGCCTCCAAAGATGTCTTCATGGCTCTTTTGAAGTCTGGGAGAGAAGCTCAAGGCAGGCACAGACTGGAGGGAAGTGAAAGTGAGAAAGAGCCCGGRAGGAAGCTGCTTTTGGCCTTCACCACATTTATTTGGAGCAGAAATAGAGTGAAGTAAATSTGCACGTGGTGGGGATCTGGTGACTTCAAAAATATTGTCATGAGGGGAGAATAGAGAGAGGAAACTGTGGACAGAAATGTGAGATTTGGTTGGGGGAAGATTTMTATCTGAAGGGGTTTGCAACAAGAYRAAACATTGTGAAATAATGACATTAGAAAAGTCACCTAATCCACATCCTCTGCTGYTGATAATTACACATTATAATAGTAAATCAATGCTTTGATATTTTGCCATTTCAATGTAAAAAGGGGGGAAATCACACAGTTGGCAAGAAAATTAATCTCCACATACTTTACTAAACTGCTTATTTGTCATTAGTGTGATGAAAACAACAACAAAAATTGTTTTGTTGATAAATTAAGTATTTTTACYGACAAGCAGGAAAAATTAACTTCACAAAGCTTCTTTATTTAAGTTGTACAATATATGAGACAAAACTTTAAGTCACAGATATTCAGATTTAGTGGCCAAACATATTTTAATTGATTTCAGAAGCTCTTGGATTTCTGCAGCTCCTTGTTCTTCCCGTCAGAAGAACAAACTTTTAACAGGGTTTCCAATTATCTCATCTTGGCTGAACCTTAAACTACATGAACACTTGTGGTGGAGAAGTCAAAAGAGGTTTGAATTAATCTTTTTATTGCTGCTTGCTCTATGGAAATCTTAATACCACTACAGATTATACAACTCACAGGTCAGATAACTGAAACTGCACCATTAAGAGCAGCACACATAAATGGRTGAGAATACCCTGAAATGAACATATTAAAGCAGAACAGAACATTGTGGAGAGAGAAAAGGCTTAATGAAAATAGAGTTGGGTGGCTTTGGCTTTTTGCCAGCTCCTTTTCAGTCCCTAACATTGCTGAAAAGTCCCTTACTTGGCTTTGTAGAAAGTAAATCAACATCTCAATGCACACACTCTCATATGCAAGTACACACATGCGTATATGTACAGTGTATATGTATGTTTATGTGCATATATATATATATATTATATATATTATATATTTATGTATGTGGATTTTGATCCCCTTCATCTCCTGCAGCTTTCTGCCTCCAGCATGCTTTTTATTAATATTACTAATTCAAAGACCTTATATTTTCTCTTTTAGTCTGTTTTTTTCTTTGTTATCATCTGCTTCTGTCAGTCCTTTCCAAAAGGAGACCAAGGCACTCCGTCCTGATGATTCCCCAGAGTGAAGATCAGCATCAAACAGACAGCAGCTCTGGAGAAGAGGAACAATGTATAATAAATGTATCAGAAGACTCTGTAGCACAAATTGTGTTTTGAATTTAAAAACTGTTATAGTTCTAAGAGATCAGCCTTAAGAAGTGATGCTAAACATTTTGGGAACAATGGTGATTCAGCGGACAAAATCAGATTTTAGGGTAACCCCATATGAAATTGCATAATATATAATTGTGTGAAGAATTTCTTTATCCTTCATGGTCAATGGAGCCTATGATTTGCCCTGCAATCACATGCTTTATATTGAAATAATTCTCTTTCCAGAGATTTAAAAATTAACAACATTGAACTCAGTTAAGTACCTTATCTAGAAACAAAAGCATGAAGTTAAAAATCTGCCTTAGTTTTAAGGAATCCTGCCATACTTTCATAGGTGGATTCAGGTCACATATAGGAGAATATGTTAGAGTGAAAAGATAMTTCGTTCAAAGATGTGGAGCTCAGTTGATCCTGGAACAGCATCTATATGAAGAAAAATGTCACTTGACTATTCAGTGATGATCATTTCTTAATTTACAGAAAAGCCCAGTTTGGAATCACAGAATGGAAAGAYARGKATCATCCCATCTRAAGTATTTATYACTGCCAAAGTGCCAAATCCAGACCAGACTGTTGATATTTCTCTTCTTTTCCTCTCCCTACCCAGCCAACGGCACAAGCATCCCTAGCAGAGTCTAACATTTACCCGGAGGGATGYAGGTGATGTTTCAGYACTCCAAATRTCTCTGGGTGCTTCATAARRARCAAACAGCTGAGCCTTTTACTTCCCCTCGGAACCAGTGAAAGGGTTAATTTTAATACGAATGCGCAAGAATTAGAGTGTATGTGCTAGGGATTAAAGATCAGCTACTATAAATTGTCAATCTATAAGCCAGCGGCCACCAGCTCACGCTGCACTTTGACCTTATCTTTATATGTAACAGGAAAGAGCCGTTCTTAGCCCAGAGCGRGGACACCGCGCCTCAGGAGCGGCCGGGCACAGAGCAGCAATTTCATCAGACATGGATGTACTTTATGGCAGGAATAAGGAAGAACACCCCGAGCCCATAAAAGCTGWGGTGCAGGGTAAGTGAAGGAAAATYCGTTGTAAAAACGTGCCGCTATTTTGGTGTTTTCCAGTCTGTGAAAACTGCGACACTTTTTCGCCCGAGGCAGCCCTTGGAAAGGGAAACTCAGAGAGACGTCTAAGGGAGTTTTGTTTAAAAGACTGATCTCAGATAATATTTGTGACACTACTGGGGGATTCTTGAGATTTCTTCTCACTCCATGAGCGTTTCTGTGTACTTTTCCAAAGTCTGTTTGAACAGGACTCACTGAAGTTGGTGCTGAGGGACGGGATTTCATCCAGACACCCCTCCCCCATAGCTCCGCTGACTTTCGCTTTCTCCTCTSTGTAACCCCTCCTTACCCTCCACTCTTTGGGAGGGTCTCTCAAACGGGGGTTCTTCATCAGTAAAACTCTAAGCAGCTAAGCAGCAGTACTGCCACAGGTTAGCGTTAAAAGGAGSGTTTGGAAGTTAATCCAGGAGAAACCGTGGAGTATCCTTCAGCAAAACAGTTTAAAGTGGCTCTCTAGSGATCTGCACTCGACCAACCTGTTATTTTCCCCTATTTCTTTTACTTTATAGAAGAGGTTTTTGTTACCATTACAGTAGAGAATTACTTCTGGGAGCCCCTGTTTAGTACATCTTGGCTGTGTTGTTTGTGATATGCAGTCCCAGAAATAGTGGGAATCTCATGACACTTCCCAAATAGAAAACTTAAAGAGATGACAATTAAAACTTGCAGGGCTCGGTTGCTGTTCAGTTTGTCTGACTTGACACAAAATCTTTTCCAATTCAGCTACCAAAGTGTTTTGTTAAAATGCCCTTGAATTGTTTTATGCCTTTATGGGTTTATGCCTTTCAATTACTTTTWATCCAAGATAACAACTTATTATCAAAATAATTAAAGTTATTTGCAAACAATTAATCATACCTGGGAATAGTCTATTTGAACAAAGACTGTATATTTCAGAAAATAAAGTTATGCATACAAAATATTCCTTCWTTTCCAAAGACAACAAAAGAGAACCATGACCCCTTTAAATCTTTTGGTAGCCTTGAGTTCTGCCAGTATTTTGGCTCCTTGTACACTGTAAATATCTATCATATTTTTACCATCAGATGCTCACATACAACCATGTGCTTTTTTGAGACTTTGTTATTACAACAGTAAATAAATTTGCAAGTATTTGGGGATTTCACAGCATTAATGTGTCCTCACATTGCAGAAAAGAATAAGGTCCACATTTTTAAAGCCATATAAGTACTTTTGCATGCTGATTTGGTAGCCAGTGTGATTTACAGGAATGCTGAATTCCTACTAAGATGAATTGTCTGAAAATGTCACTAGATGACCCTTTGTTCCTTGTTTTTCATACTGAAATTAGACCAGAAATTACATCGAATTTCACCRGAAATTTCAGAAGTTGCATTAAGTCTACAGTGCTTTAAAAAGATTTTTCCACCCCTTTTAATCTTTTCCACCAAAATTATCATATACAAAAACAAACTATGGTTATTGCTCTGGAATTTCTTGTGTTAGAAAAAGAAGTAAGGTTTGGTTTTCCAGGCTCTTCTAGAGAATAACAATTAAAATGATGGTGATGATGATGATGATGAAAGTTCATCCATTGTGTCAACTATTTTTGTTCCTGATGTATTCCAGAGCTGAAACACTAATGGAGTTATGCCCAAATGATGGGTGTCCCATCCCTGGAAGTGTTCAGGGCCAGGTTGGATGGGATTTTGACCTGCCCATGGCAGGGCTGGAATGAGTTCATCTTTAAGGTCCATAGGGGGATATTTCCAGCTGTTGTAAAGGGGTTTTAATAAGAAATTGTGTCAACATAATATGTGGGGTCACAAATTAAWCGATAAGAAGAAATATAAGTTCTGAAAGTTTTTTTTATGCAGAGGCAATATCCAATGCAGAAATTGTGTGGAGAAGCAGTATGTGATCTTAAATGTTCCCTCAGGAGCCATAGGCACAAACAAATAAGTCAAGCTTTTTATTTAATATCTGATATGCCTTTGTTCATCTCTTTAACCCTAATGGCATTCTTTAATTGTTATTATTCTGTGAGTCAGGTGATAGGTAATGCATTTCTTGCAGGGATTTGATGAAGAACATTTATGATTCATATCTCAACAGCACTTACGTATTTTCAGTACAATATTCCTATACTATATTTGTGTACAAAACACTACATTATGACTAGTGTCACAAAAGCACTTCCCAAATGACACTACATTATGCTGGGTAATCTAATTAATGAAATTTTAGTGGAATTAATTTAGCCTGAAGTCTCAACTGATGTGCTGAAAGCCAATGCAAGTCATATAACCTATAAAGTATGTTTACTTCTGATAAGCTGTAGTTTTKTCTGGCACGATTAAAAGGGTTGAAATATATCACTATAAAATATGAATACAGGAAGGAAAGGTCCAACTTTATTTACTTCCTGATAATTAACAGATTATATTCCAGCAATCTCATCTTTTTATAGTAATCTCAGATAGCAACAGTCATGCAGAATTTCACTAGTGCCACTTTTTGGGTAGGGGACATTTTAGTTAACCTGAACTGCAATATAATTATATGGTACTGCCAATACACACCAATAATCTGTCTGACTGTGTGAAGCCTGTGCCTTTGGAAAAACTGTCCGGGGACATTCCCCTTGCCTAAATGAATGGATACTGGTAACACTTTTCTGTCCATAGGTCAGCTGCCCACTTGGTTGCAAGGGATACTCCTCCGAAATGGCCCAGGGACACACACAATAGGGGACAGCAAATATAACCACTGGTTTGATGGCCTGGCTCTGCTGCACAGCTTTACATTTAAAAATGGTAAGTTGTTGCTCACTGAATCAAAAAAGAGCTCAACAWTCCACATTTTGGTGCCTTATGTTGCTAATTCTGTCTTGAGTTGGATTGGAGTGTTTTGGGTTTTGTCTGCAGAGTGGTAGGTGGGGGAACTGCTGTGGGGAAAGCCTCCACTCCCTCTCACACCTCACTCTTCACAGCAGCAGCGGGAGAGTCTCAGCAGGGCTGTTTGCAGGGAGATGTTACATTGTCCTTTCTTCTGAAGTGCCAAAGTTCAGTGTTKTTGTCATCCCAGGACAGCACAAACTCAGCTTTGGGCAGTCAYTGCCAAGCAGCCTTCACCTTCCACCCAGGCCAAGAAAACCTCCACGGTTTCCACTGGATCAGCCACACGTTCTGTAGAGGCTGTTCTGCTGTGGGTGAACAGCCCARTTTCAGGGAAGACCAGCATTCCCCTTTTGGGATTTGGCTGCAGCTGTGAGAGCTGCCAGGAGAGAAACTGGGCCACTGTGTCACTTCACATGTCAAACCTCGCTCAGTGTATTCAGCACCCCTACAGTCCCTCCTCCTGTTCGTATCCTTATGGAGGGAAACCAGGCAGCTTCTCTATCCTAAACAATTTAATTTTTTTTTYCMRKTWAAASMWTTTTYMMCCMWT